CATTAGTTTTCCCACAAAGGTAGCATATACCTTTCAGTTTACACTTTTTGTCTTTAGAGATGTCTTTTTGCTACTCGGGAAAAAAAAGACTTCTTGTTAGGAGCCTTGTCCTTAGACTTGTCCTATAAAAGGTTTGCCTTGGACTAGAAGTCCCTTGTCAGCAAAGTTTCCATGATAACATCCTTCTGTTTTTCCTTTTGATGGAGGTAACTTATGAATGATGTTCCCACTTGGAAAGCCTCATTCAACTCTATTCCACAACCTTGATGTTCACTTACAATAACCTGCAACTCATATACTTGACTCAGTATAGTTCATTTTTAGTGAGTTTAAAGCCAAGATAATTGGAAATCAAAAATATTTGGTTAGCTGACTCTTCAGTCTTGTACTTCATTTCCAATTTATTCCACACCTCTTTTGTTGCAGACAAAGACCATACATGTCGAAGATGGGGTCGTGAGTACGTCGAGGATGCGTGCATTTGCATATGAAGTCATCCTTAAAGCAATTCCAACTAAGTTTTGACTTTTCCTCTCGCTTTTGTGGTTGTTCCATTGTCTCTCCTTCCACTTGTGGTGGCCCCTCTAGCATAAGATCAGTGAGAACATAAACCACCATGACTGTGGTCATCAAAGATATGAGGTTTTGTTGCCACCTCCAAAAGTTCAATACATCAAAGCGGTCGATATTCATAACTTTGACAGACTCCATGTTTTACCCAAAATATTGTCCTAAATTGTTGAAATGAAAGGTGATACAAGAAAAAATAAATAATGAATGAATAAAAGGAACAAAGGAAGTTTCAATCTCTCTGATCCCAGGCATGAATGATCGCATTCTCAAGATAATATTAGCCGCTTATTGATAAAAATAAGTGTGCATCTAAGTTTCGATCAGGCATATCTGTTATTTGGATATATGGGGGTAAAAGATTGTGAAAACTATCTTACCAATACTAATTAACAAGTACTACAAGATCTAAAGCACCAAAATCGCCTCAATCTAAAGAGAGAAGGTTCTCACAAACACTTAGGAGTAGAAAAACTTCGTTATGAGGATTGGAAGTAACAATCCCTATTTATAGAGAGAAAGTGCCTTTCACCTACTATGCATAATTGTTCGAGTACGCATTAGGCCAAGAATTGCATCTCTCGAAATCTCAATAGTCAAAATAGTGGATCTACTGTAGCTGACATGCAACAGGGTAGCCAACAATCACGTGGGGCTTCTTTGAGTTTCGGGAACGTAACTGTCATGATCTATATGCGTCTTCACTTATGGAGCAGAAGGACTGGAGCGCACCAATCCACAGAAGCTGTGCATCGTCATTGATGGGGCTCAAATCACTGGTGTGCACCAATCCATCGAAACCAATGGGGCACAAATCACCAGAGTGTACCAATAGACCAAAACCATGCATCTACCAATGGAGTATAGATCTCACTTGGAACAACCCTAAGACCACCTTATGGCTTTGCTCATTGAGCCAAAAAGATAGACAAGCCACAAGCTCTTATGGCTTTGCTCATTGAGCCAAAAAGATAGACAAGCCACATGCCCGACCCGCACATATGCACAGGCAAAGGCGCCATATGCGTCAATGTAAGCATGCAAAGTGTAAAGTGCGCTATCAAGCGGCCTTGCATTTCGTACACGCACGTGAGCATTTGCACACTAAGCATACTTTACAAGGCCTTCTATCGTATTGGTTCTTAGAACACAAATAAAGAGGATAAACTCATATGTAAAGAAGGCTTCTTCATCCCATTCTTCCTTTCGGGATAAATAACCCATTACTTTTTTCTCTATAAATAAGACAAATCACACTTTTCAAAACACTATGGTACAAAAGAGATATTAATTTAAAATAACACAATATTTTCCAAAGCAAAATCCATCAATAGAGAGAGATCTGATGTAGAGAAAGAGGTATTGATGGAATAAGGGGAAGAGATAGTTAGCGGAATGGTGAAGACGATGCGATTTCAAATAGGGGTTTCCACTGCTATGTCTTGACCCCTCTTATGTGAATTCTTTAGGGGCTCCACAAGCGTGAAATTTTAGAATGTTAGAATATACATATATTTGTGTTAATTTTAGAATTTATTATATTTGAAAATATTGTAACATATTTTTTTATATACAAACATATGACATATCGCATGTTGAGAATAAACTTGTTCAAACTTTCAAAATTCAAACCATACAAAATTTAAAAGTCTAATAGGATATGTATTAGTAATAGTCTCCAACTCTCCATATTTCATAATAAGTGAAAAGGTTTAGGAAGCTTCTTCAAACCACAAAAAATACTTTCGATTCTCAGAAACCGGTATAGCTAAAGAGATTGAAGGTTTATGGAATTTTTCTTTTAACTTTGGGGGGTTTAAAATAACCCCCATAACCTATTTAAACCTTTTTGAGGGTCAAAGTTACCCCATTTTTCCTTTTGGGGTTTTGTTTTAAAGAAAAAGCTCAAGTCCGCCCACCTAGGGGCCCACCTAGGCGCCCACCCAGGTACATCCACCAGTGTAGGGCCGCCTGGGTCTGGGCGTGAAGTATTTTGGTCTAGGCTGCCTACGTGGGCGCCTAGGCACCGGGCGGACCGTTTTTTAAAACATTGTATGTGATAGGAAAAAAAGGAGTGAAAGGTTAGAGAGAGATGAAATGTTTTCATAGGGGATAGAGACATGGGAATAAAAAAATTCAAAAAATCTTAAAACGCCTTGGGAGTGAAATCCTTTCAAATTAGGAGCACCCATGTCCTTTGTGGAGTTGCAATCCCCCATCCATAGGGATCATGATCCTTTTCAGCCAAGGACCTTTTAAATTAGGAATCGAGATCCCAGTAGGTAGGGATCGAGATCGCTTGACAGGAGGAAGGGCTCCGGCTCCAAATCGAGATTCCTAAGAGGGGATTGCCACCCCCTGGCCAAGATCCCCACAACTTATCACCCAAAGAAGACCTTTGGATTAAATAAAGGAAAAATTTCACATCAAAAAACCAAAAAACAAAAAAAAAGCAGCATATACGCTTTGGTTTCCTCCCTTGTTCTCGTTCTTATTGATGAGAAAAATTGAAAAGTCTCTAAAAATCGTTATGGTATGTTCATCTTCTGTATGTCCTACCTCTAACACTCTATCACACTTCATAACCTTTCTCCTTCATTTATTTCTTCATTTATAAAAGCTTTTAGGCAATTGCTATAACCTCCAAAGGTGTGGAGGGCACATGGCATCTCATCCTTCCTTTTGGAGCTTTGTGGTCCTACATGGCAAGGAATGTGGATGACTTGGATTATTGGACACATGGGAAACTTATAATTGACTTGGGACCTTCCCATCATGTTTCAAAATGAACAAAGTACGCTTGAGTCAAATAACAAATTTTTAATTAGAGTTCTCACATTGATCCCATGGTTAAGACATTTTTGGCTCATGCGCATTGATATGATACCACTATTTCTAACATATTTGACAGATTTTCCAGTGTATGAAATGATATAGATCTCTTCTATATGCGGCATACCAGGATTCTCCATCACAATTGAGTATTCAGCACTAAAGCCATCTTACACATAGATATTCGGCTATAAAGACATCTTGTGCATTGATGTTTGTGATTCATCCTATAGCCTAGTATTAGGGCACTTTATTTCACCATTAAATACTTTGACGCTTAAGGTATAGGACCTATACAATTATCTGCCAGCGAGTACTTAGGAAATCATGGGAGGAATCTACACATCCATTCCACCATTAAGATCTATGGCATTTGCGATATCAAACATGTTGATGTATGCCACCATTAAGCACTCGAACGCTAGGGTTGTTGAAAATTTTCACCTCCATTATAAATATTGTGTTTTGCCATAAAATACTAAATGTTATTTCAAGATAACGTCATCTTTGAAATATAATGCTTTGGAAAGTGTATTTTGTTTTATTTGTAGAGAGAGAAATAGTAGGTTATTTATGCCACATTAAAAAATGGGGTGAGGAAAATCATGCTTAAATATGGGGATATCCTCTTCATTTGTGTTCTAAAGAATCAGGAGAGAAGGCTATGCAGAGCACGCGAAACGTGATGTGCACATACATGTGCGAGGACTCAAGGGCACTTGAGACGCACTTTACACTTCACACGCTCACATCAGCGCAAGAGGTGCCCTTGCCTTTGTATGAGTGTGGATCGGGTTCGTGGCTTATATACCTTTAACCGCTATGAAGAAGGCCACCTGCTGGGACAAGGTACGCTACTAATAATTTGGTGCCAGCCAACAATTGTGGTAATTTGGCACTCACCAGTGGTGTGCATCCAGCGCATGAAGTGTTGATTTTTTGGGAACCCGAAGAGACATCTTGAAATCTTGTAACGGTTGGCTATCCAATTGCATGTTGGTTGCAATTGATGAAGCATTTTAACAATTTTGAAGAAGCAAAGAGTTACAACTCTTTATTTATCCAGCAAATTGAATACTCACATTAAGTGGAACTGAAAAGGCATTTTCTCTCTATAATTAGGAACCCATTTCTTCTTTTGACTAAAAAGTTTCCTATTGTCCTAAATATTTTTATGAGCTTTCCCTCTCTAGAAAAGATGTGACTCTGGTACTCTAGATCTCACAGTACTAGTGTATTCTGTATGACAAGATAGTATACGCAATCCTCTGTTTCCTTGTATCTTGAGGACAAATTTGCCTAGAGAACTCAGATGGGCACTAATTTATATCCGTAATGGGCAAATACTGTCTTGCGATAGCGATTTATTAGTTCTTGAAAATAGAGTGATTGAAATTCCTATTTTATTACATAACACAAGTTGTCTTATTTTGCCCCATTTCACCTACCAATTTCCAAAAATACAAGATAATATTTAGGGTGAAATTGGAGTCCATCAAGGTAATGAACATCGACTGTTTTGATGGGTCAAACATTTGGAGATGGCAACAAAAGCTCTAGCTTTTGTTGACTACAACCAAAGTGGAATATGTTCTTACTGATACTATGCCAGAGCTACCACGACAAGTACGAGAAATTGGAGAACAAGCATGCCTGCAATAAGAGAAGTCAAAGATTCACCAGACGTGGATCGAGGGTAATTTCATATGCAAAGGAAACATCCTTAATGTGTATGCACAAATCCCATCTATGACACATATGGGTCATAATCAATGAGAAAAGAAATATGAAATAAATTGGAGATCAAATATATAACCGAAGACTCAAGTAATCAAGGGTTTTTTCATTTCCGTTTATGTAGACTTTAAATTCACTGAAACTAAACCAACACTTTGCTGGAAATGGTGCGTGCAATGGGGCAAAAATAGAAGTTTGAATTAAACAAGGAAGTTTCAGTCTGTTTGATCCCATGTGCAATAAAATCCCTTTCTCAAGACAATATTTGCCCCTTACTGATAAGTATCAGTTTACATCTAAGTATCTACCAAGCAAATTTGTCCTCGAGATGCATGGGAGCAAAGGATTGAGGAAACTATCTTGCCAATACAAATACACAAGTATTGCAAGATCTTGAGCACCGGAATTGCCTCTATTCTAGGTAGAGTAAAAGTGGGGAGACTTCACATGTACGCATGTAAGCTTGTTGTTAGAAAAAAAGAGAAAACATGTCCCTTAATTATAGAAAGGTATAGTGCCTTTTCACCAACTATGTGTGACTGTTCAAGTACCCAAAATAATCAAGAGTTACGTCTCTTGAAATATCAACTGTCAGGACAGCGCATCTATTACAAGTAACATGTAATAGTATATCCTACTAGCACGTGATGACTCTTTGGATTTTGGGAAACTAACTACCGCACTGATTACATGTGCATCCACAATCACAAAGTGTCTAATTGGTATTTGGTAAACCAATTGTCACGTGCTTTGTACACGTCTTCACCAGTAGGACTTGAATACCAGAGGCACCCATCCATCAGACTTGCACATCTTCATTGGATTGGTAAGATTCTCCAAAACGCACTATTCCACAGGAACCATCTGATGCCGCACAACTCAATGGAGTGCACAATTCCACTGGAGCTGTGCAAGTTCACAGGAGGCGTACATTACCGAGATGCTACTCTATAGTCTTACATGGCAAAAATAAAGATGGGTCATGAGCTTGACTTGCACACATGCTTGAGAGAGGGGCGCCTCATGCACCAATGTGAGGATGCAAAGTGCAAAGTGGCCATCAAGTCGGTGTGCACGATCGCGTTCACACAATGTACATATTCCACATAAGCCTTATCTCCCTTTGATTCTTAAAATACAAGTGAAGAGGATATCCACATATTTAAACAAGGTTTCCCTTTTCCACATCTTCAATGTGGAATAAACAAACTATCACTTCTCTTTCTACAAATAAGGCAAAATACAATTTCCAAATAGATTGCATCTTCCAAAACATTAGTAACCAATAACAGTGGAAAACTAATCTAATCTTTGTTACCTCAAGAGGTCTAGATTTAAAGTGGTAACAACAAGTAGTTTGAGCGGTCATTGTATCACTAGACATGATTAAATATTTTACAAGCACCCATTTTAGATGGATCCATTTAATGGATAAGTCTAGTGGAAATATGTATGAATGGAGGTTGACTTATGCTCTTAATGATATCTATAGTTGGTATCAATTGGAGTGTTTTATGTACATGAGCACCCTTTATAGATGCACATATGTAAGTGTGGAAGTTAGGTTGCCATCTATGAGATTGGACCCGTTTCCAGAGCGCTTATGAGATTGAGATATAAGCTCAAAGCCTGTAAAACGCTACATACCAGAGTTTTTATGTTATTTGTATGTTGTGCTACTAATGTGTTAAACAAAAAACCTTGGTTCAAAGCTATATGCTACCATAGAGCTTGAAGTACTTTGTAGTACATACATTAAAGAGAGATTCAAATAAAAAAATACCTCCATATTATGAAAATGACATATGGTTGTTTAATATTTACATATTTCCAACTAAGTGAAAGAAATTGTTGTATTTGTTATAAAAAATACTAGGTTTTATTTCAAAATAATACCTTTTGTATTTTGTCTTATTTATAGATAGAGAAGTGAGTTATTTACCCCACATTGAAGAATGAGGTAAGGAAAGTCATGCTTACACATCGACGAATGAGTTAAGGAAAATCATACTTAAATATGGAGATATCCTCTTCACTTGTATTTTAAGAACCAAAAAGAGAGAAGGCCTATGTAGAGCACGCGAAGCATGTGATACACATGTGCTTGTGCGAGCGCACAAGGGCACTTTGCAACTCAGATGCTCACATAAGCGCACAAGGAGCCCTTGCCCGCGCACACGTGTGAGTCGGGCTGGGCTTGTATACCTTTTATTTTTGTGGGCAAGGCATATGGTGGGACAAGGGACATTATCCGTAATTTGGTGCCTTGGATAATTTGCTAATTTGGTGCCCTCTAACATTTGTGGTAATTTGGTGCTCACAAGTGGTTATGGTAATTTGGAGCCCACCGGCAATTGTCGTATGCCTCCACCATATGAAGCATGACAAATGATTTTTTAGTACCACGCAGAGACACCTTGGAACTATATTACTGTTGGCTATCCAATTGCATGTCGGTTGCAATTGATGAACCATTTTAATGGTTGTAATTAAGAATTTATGAGTTATTGATTTTTATCTATGAAGTGAATTGAAAAGTCGCATTGTGTTGAACTGAAAAGATATTTTCTCTCTCAATAAATAAGAACCCAATTTCTTCCTTGGATTACAAAGTTTTCAATTGTTCTCAAGTATTTTTGTGAACTTTCTCTCTCTCTAAAAAGAGGCAACTCTGGTACTCTAGATTTCGCAATACTTGGGCATTTTGCATTGGTGATATAGTATACAAAATCCTCTACCTCCTTGCATCCTGAGGATGAATTTGCATGGAGAACTAGATGCACATTGATTTATATCAGTAAGGGGCCAATATTGTCTTGTAATAGTGATCCATTCATGCCTGAAAATAGAGTTATTGAAGTTTCTACTTTGTTACACAACAAAAGATCTTTTATTTTGGCCGGTTTCACCCACCAATTCCCAACAATAAACACTCTAAACTTTGGTATACAGACTTGATTCTGCCGCTAATAAATTCTTAAAATTGTTTTAGGATAATGCTTAGACTATTGAACTCATTCCTCTATTATGCCATCAAGCCCTCGGTTGTTTGGGTTACATACCTATTCATTTATACTGCCATTAAGTGCTTAAAAAATAACTTGGGATGCAAAACCCATAAAACAACCCTCAGATAGTAAACCCTGAATTGAATGCCTAATAATATGTAAATAACAAAAATAGGGGGACATAAGATAAATTGTAAAAATAAATATAAAACTAACATTGGGAACAACACATATTTATTGGGAATACAACAGCAGCATATTAGAATGAAATCATTTATCTAACAATAGGATTTACCAACCAATGAGAAACTCAAAGATGTATGATTGCGATAATAATATCCTTTCAAAGCAAAAAGACTACAACTACATACAATAATGTCAAAATGTACCTTTTCATATTTTACACACATCACATTAGGAGAAGATGAAAACCTGTATGGAATGCAACTTTCCATGTCTATCACCCTCCTCACAATCTGAGATGAGAAAGTACAAATAAAAAGATTGTGTAAGAGAACACTCCTAAACTTTAACCACCATCAATAATCCATAATCCTTTTTATCCAAAGTCCAAAGATAAATATGACTAAATCCTATCTCATATTTTTAGTTTTACTTTTTTTCCCCCTTATAGATGCTAAACACTTTAACGTAAAATGGTACTGTGGTCACATGCAAGGGTATCAATCAAATATACATTGCACAAATGACCAGCACATATTATCATGTACAACTCCCATAACAGTCATACATGTGAATGCTTATGATCATACCATGCTCAAATAGCACACATATAACACCGCAAGAATCTAATTTATACAAAAAATATATGAGTTTTAAAAGCGAAAAATTGCCTCTTGTAAACACTGAAAATATTGAATGGCAAGAGTGAATCTGGCAATACAAGATAATTGAATAGAATTAAAAGTCGTATGCATACTGAGAAAGCACATTATGGAAAAATGATCACGATGCTTGTGTAGAAAGAGGAAAATAAATATCCTAATATGGGCATCATTGAAAGTGTTAGGCATCTTGTATAGTTTTCATATTATATTATCATCTGCAATTGCATATTACCCATTATAAACACCCAATTTCACTTATAATTCACAATAAAAAATTCAATAAGACCTACATTCCAACTATTTATTCTCTCTACATTCCAACTATTTATTCTCTCTCTCAAATGAAAAAGACCAGCATTTCAGCAATATCCCCATGTTAAAAAAGAGACACCCTGAGTACCCAACATTCTATTTTTCTGGCAATTAATATAGTTCCCCCAGTCCTAAACCACCATTACACCCCGAAATCACATTAACCCAAACACATAATCCAAATAAAAGAACCCAAATCACAGAGAAAAGACAACCAATACTCACTTGCTCCTGAGTCCACCTGACATGAGGACTAAATGGTAAAGATAGGTCTGGAAGCAAATGAAGAACAGCAAATGAGCGTGAAATTAGGGCACGATAGTCCGGGGGGTCCCCATCTCTGAGGATAAAGGCCATGGGATCACCGCTGCAACCTAAGCACCCACGCCCTTTGCACCTGCAACCTGTGTGAGCCCCTAGGGTTCCGCCATTTTGAAGTGGAAGCATGGATAATATGACGTTTCCTAGGGTATTGACATACTTGTCGCCATAAACTCTTCTCATAAATTCAGGAACTCGACGCTTTCTTTTCTTCCTTTTCATTGTAGCGAGCTCTGGTTTTAAAGAAATGGATGTCGCCATGTCTAAAAAGTAGGCCCTAAGTTGAAGTAGCAGGGCGCATTAAACTGTTATGGAACGCGCCGAAATTTATATAAGGTTGCAACCTTGCAACGCATGGCCTAGACCAGCGTTTAAAAGGAACGGTTCGGTAACTCGAATCGGTCTCACCTTGTCGGATCGGGCGATAGGTTGATCGTATCGGAATCGACAGAATCAGTAATTTTCGTTATAGATTTTTTTTTTTTAAATAATTCAAGAAAAAGTTGTTTATCCTTTTTTTCCGCTCGACTCAGTGAATAATTGGTCAGAAGCACCCTTTTTTATTTATTTTATATAGCAAACAAAATTTCATTGATCTAATTCCGGACATTCCGATACATCTCTACTTTACGAATATGTCGAGGCAAGACTAAGGTTTCAGTCCTTATATTTATGTAACCATCGAGGAGCCGTAATGACGTACTCCTCCTGTTCGAGCTAGAGTTTGAAACCAAACTTCTCCTCAGGATGATAGATGGGGCAATTCATCGATGAAGAATAAGACTCGATGAATAATTGGTCAGAATCGATCTAGACCGTTCATTTTCAAGATTTTCATATGTTTATAGATATACTTGATTTTAACTATTTTTGGAGTTTAAAATTTATAATTAGATGTGAAAATAAATTTTCAGATAATCCTAAAAATATTTTACACCACAATTATATGTTATTATAGGATTTGGAGGTGCGCTTTAATTAGATTGTTTTTTGTTGCCGTCTTATAGAAACCACACCCTATAGGCAACACATCTATATTGGAAAAAGTTTATATAAGGTTGTAACCTCGTAATGTAGAGCTATGGATGCACCTCAAAATCCATCGAGAAAGGTAGTTTTAATGTCGAAAAACCCTTTGATTGATCATCTCGATATCGAGATGTATGATCATGAAAAATAAAAAGATTTTAAGTCTAAAAAATAGTGCATTTTATAACATTATAATCTACACCGTCTATTTTCAAGATTTTTGTAGGTTTAAAGATCTACTTGATTTTAATCATTTTTAAATTTTATAATTAGATATAAAAATAGATTTTGAGATAATCCTAAGAATATTTTACATCAAAATTATATACCATGATAAAATTTGAAAGCGCACCTTACCTCTACAGCTATGGATGCATCCGTATGTCAACTACACCCATCTATATTTATGCTGCATTATTAAGTTGGACTAAAGGGGTGGACATGTATTACAAGAATAAAAAGAAGCTCTATATATAACTATAAAATAAAACACGTGTCCTAAAAGATATATAAAAATATACACGATAGCTTCTAAATTTGAAAAAATGAATGTAAAACATGAAAATATAAAAGATACACTCAAAATTTTGTATTATTAAGCCAGAATTAAAAAGTAGACACAGGTTGCAAAAATAAAAAAATTCCCTAAAGGGATAAAATAAAGCACACGTCTCAAAAGATATATAAAAATATACACGATAGCTCCTAAATTTGAGGAAACGAATGTAAGACATCTAAATATATAAAAGGTAGCATGGAGAAAATGAAGGTAAGCTATATAAAATAGTAGGAATTAAGATATTTTAAAAGATGAGGGTATATAGAAAGAGAGATAAATCCCAAATTTAAAAGAATGAAATATATGAAATTCTACGGGTTTGAGAGATTTTATAAAATGTGGGTAAAGAGAGAGACTTTAAGGAGAGTCTCATATGGGAGAAGATAAGCGATAAGGGGATATATATATATATATATAAATTATGAGACTCACCTACACCCATGTGAGTAGTATCCCAAAGAATCACCATTAAAATTTGACACAGATCTCTTGAAAAGTTATAACATGGGTGTGGGATTTGAGTGAATGGGTTTTCTAGAGATCTATGTCAAAATTCAATTGAGATCTATGTGAGTAGGAAAAGGTTCACCATTAAATTTTGGCACAGATCTTTATAAAAGTTATCACATGGGACTTGACTTTTCTAGAGATCTATGTCAAATTTAATGGTGACCCTTTAGGATCCTACACATGGGTGTAAGAGGGTCTCATAGTGTAACAATCCTAAAATTTCAAAAAAAAAACAAAAAAAAAAAAAAAAAAAAAGAGAAAAAATGCTTTTAAATAGGTGATGGTCTGATTGAGTATGATGGTCCTTGAGGACCATCACTATTTTCAAAACTTTTTGCTTGGTTTAAACTTTTGCTGCTGCTTTTGTTTGCAGCCTTTGCAGTTGCTGCTTGCAGCTGGTCACGTCCTTTAGCGGACGTGGTTTTCGTATGTTAAAAGCAGACGCTTAACGCGACACCTCAGGTATGAGGTAAAGTTTAATAAAATATTATAATAATACGTTATAAAAATTTAAATAGGGGAAGTGAGCACACCCACCCTAGAAAACTTTTGAAATCTTTCCCTTTCTGGTCGAAACACAGTGAGCTCCTCTCCCTAGCCGAATTTTTATCGGAAGCTCCCTCTCAAATATTTTAGGTACGTGACATCGTCTTTCTGAAAAATAGTCTGTTTTTAATAAATAGTGATATTTTCGTCCAGGATCTTTATTTTATCAGTTTTATGTGTAAGTGACCTCATTGTCTCGAAAAATAATCCATTTTTTTTTAAAATAAAATAAAATAATTATTTCTGCTTATTATCATGAATTTTAGGTGCGATAAATTTTAAAATATGATTTCAGTGATATATTGAGTACATGATATTGCTGCTTTCGAATGTTTAAATAGATTTAGAAATAATTTAAGTATGCAAGTGAACTCATCCGGTTCGCCGGTGAGGTATAAGTGGATCTATCTGGGATGCTGGTAGGGATTAAGTGGACTCATCCGGTACGCCGGTGAGGTATAAGTGGACCTGCAGGGATTAAGTGGACTTATCTGGGACGCCGATAGGGATTAAGTGGACCCATCAGGACACTGATGGGGTATATAGGTGACCTACTTGGGACGCCAGT